CCCTTAGCGCAAATTATGGGTTACCACATGTTAGTACTATTTTCGGTTTGAAGCTAAGCGACCACGAAGGGCGAGTCACTTTTTACACTGTCCGAGGGGTGCTAAAAAAGCGATGGGGAGATTCGCGGAACAGCAAATTGTCACGTAGCCCTCACTTAGTGACACTGATAGGCAACACCATCAAGAGCATTTTTTAACGCGCGCATGTTAACAAATTCAAAGGCGAGCGCAAGGACGACCAGAGGTGGAGGTGGTTGTGGTGGAGGTAGAGGTAAAGCGGGGAAATTGTAATTACAATTTGATGTTGCAACCACTCAGCAGTTGGCAATTGGTTCTCGGCACTCCGCATACAGTTTTCCCAATTCTGCTCTGGGGTGGCTAACCTGTGGTTAAGCGAGCGTGTAATTCACAATTTGTTCTGGTTACCCACGCTCGCACCCGACAAATTTCTTAATTATGGTTTACCTTACATTTTCAATTTAAGTGAAATTATAAAGAAAGCATCTTACTGTCTGAATGACACCGAGCCAACGGCGAGGTGCGACAATAATAACACACATCTATTGTGCCGAGGTTGGCTTGGAATCAATAGGCTTCATCATAATGCATTTATTATTTATTCATAATGCACAATATTAAATTAAAAAACTATCATTAAAAATAATTTAAGTTGTTATTAAAATAAAATAAAAAAAAAAAATGTCAAGTCTCTAGTTCAAAATAAGTAAAAAACAAGACTGCTCGACAACGAAACCTCCTGAACCCCTCTGCTAACACAAGAAACTCGCATGGACTTCTGTGTGGGCTTATTATAGGAACTTAATTGCTTAATAACTTTTCTTGTCGATGGACTATCTCCATGAAATTTGTAAATAGTGATCATAATATTAAAATGTGTGCATGTGACAAAGCATAAGTCTCTAGTGATACACACGGAAAACAAACAAGTCTCTAGCTCATGTCTTTTGAGATCGACGCGTTCATACATACGGACGTGCAGAGACGGAAAGCTTCAACGGATTTCAAAATCAGCTCTGCTTTGAGATCACAATATCTCGAAAAACAGTGAAAATATATGCAATTAAATTTCTTGTTTCTTACTATAGAAACAAGAAATTTAATTGTATATACTATTAAACGCATTTACCAAAATATCGAATTCAAATTTTAAAGCCTTAAGTTCAAAACTGTTATACAAACATGCAATACTTTTATGATTTGAAAGACTAAAACTAACTATTTATTTGTATATGTAAGTATTTTATATAAGATGAATAAGAGCTTATATAAAAAATTACATGTCTTTGCGACAGCAAGGTGAATATTGCAGCTATAAATTTTGTATGCAATCTAGGTATAAATGAGAATTGTAGAAAATTTATAACTTTATTTGGTAAATATTTTCGCATGGGTTTATATATATCAGTTAAGGTAGAGTTAGCAAATATGCTAACCATTGCTACATGTATAACAGATAGAGGCTGGTGAATATATTCGGGGAATACGTCTCAACCTACATCTACAGTGTCAACTATTTAAAAATCTAGTATAACAGCTTGAATTTATAATATATATAAACGAAGAGTGATGGTTAAGATATTTGCTAACTCACTTTATATCAGAAAATACGTAAAGATATTCACCAAACTAGGAATTTCAAATAAGATATTCACCGTTTTTCCTGGAACTGGTATATCATTGTCCACGAAAATATATAGGAATCTGAATTTGCAAAATTACTATGTACATACATATGTATGTTATTTTTCAATTCACATGACGAATAGATGTCATTTCAATATTTCACCTGTACTCAATAAATAAAATATTATGTTGCAAAGTTCTTACCATTTTTTCAAAATGTGTGTGTTATAGACATACAATACAATAGTTCCAACTCCATCCCCAACCTACAATTTGTATATTGCTTTTTTGAATATTACCAGACTGTTAAATAAAAAATGGTCACTCTGCTGCAACAGCTGATTAAAAATAGGTATTAAATGAAAATGTTGTTTTATTGCGCCATCTAATGTTCATTAGGCAGAAGTAGTCCTGGCAGACACCATTAAGTATATATGTATAATTTTGCTGAACATTTGACCATCTCGGTCGAGCGCATAAAGCGAAATGATTGTGCTTTCGTATATTTTCGTAGCTCGAACCTAAAAGTAAGGATCCGAGCGAACCCAAAGCTGTGTGGAGTTCTAAAGCCCCAGAAAAAGCGTGCAAAAAGATTTCAACTAGTTGTCTAGTCTATGTGCTCTCTCGTTAGTGGCACCATCGAGCTATCAATATAGCGATTGTCAAATATCGCGGTGGTTATCGATAGCGTTGTCGATATTTTTGCGCTTCACATCAGATAAATACATTTTGGCGCGTTCTTCAATTTGAGCGTAAAAAGCTTAATTGTAAAAATATTACTATATTATATGTTTATATAAAATTGGAAATATTTCAAGAGGTCTGGGGACCGAAAATTTGCAAAGTGCCTCATATGTGTAAATGAATATAAAACTAGCGGCAGGTAAATCCAGCTGAATTTTCCTCTATTGGAAGCTTTTTTTGCTAATACTGCATTCCCGCGACGTCAGTAGAATCAGAAAGAGCATTCAGCAAGGCGGACCAAATTATTAATATTCTAAGAGGTTTATAATATATGATTAGATGGTCTGGAAAATTTATTTAACAATAAGGTTCTATAATATGCCCACAATATCAATCCACAAATGATTCATGCAGTCGAACCGTTTCAACTTCAAAAGTTTATATTCTAATACAATTATTCTCAATGGCAAATCAGCTAGCAGCTAATAAAGTTTAACAATTTCATAACGAATTCTTAAGCGCCTGGAACACGCTCATTTAAATTAGTATCGTTTTGATCAATCGAGACGCACGCAGATACATAAATATGTACATGTGTGCTTTAACGAACTGACTGGATTGGTGCCAACAAATTTATTTGTTCAAGCCCCTGCGATATTAATTAGTCTCTTGTGAGTTATGGTTTAGAAACGTACAGTAAATTTCTTGAATAAGTTTTATATAAATTTCACACTCCACTTAAAGTATAACTTATATGATAATTCGCTTTCGCTAGGTACACCTGCTCAGCGCTGGGAGAGTATTGTGCTAAGACACGCTAATTTTACTTGAGCGATTGGGAAACCGCCAAGATCTGGATCTGTAAATTCCGGCGGATGGGCTTAGCTTCGTTTCACTCACAAGACTTCTCTAACGCACGGCTACGTGAACTTACTCAGTCTGCACCAATGTCCTAGTTGGTGCCGCTGACGATCCTGGTTGCCTCTTTTGTCGTCGCAAGGATTCCCACTGGATGCCCTTGCTGTTCCCACGATGTCCTGGGAATACTTTGAAGTCCTGAATTACGACTCGCGTTGACTTTCACGTATTAGTTTTACTTCGGCACTCTTATTACTCTGAATTTCACTTTTAATAATCACCATTTTTTTAACTTCCCGTATGGAGCTGCCGGTGACCTTTTAGCCCAGCCACAGGCCCTGCTTCGGGTGGTCTTTCTGACGCTTGAGCTCATAAAAACGGTAAAGTGGCGTGATCTGGGTGACGCCACTTTCCTGCCAAATTGCGTGGCAGCCACCCATTGGCCGGCACCTCGGATAACGGTTCCCGTGCATATACATTAATACGTACATACCAATATTGCTCTTCACAGTGCATATTAAATGAGGAATCTGAAAATTAAATAGTTCCTCACATAAAGTATTGATTCGGGAAACTTTCTTTCTGGCATAACAAAAACAGAAATTGTGAAATTGAAGCACTCTTGCGACATAAAGAAACAATGATTTCTCAATCTGCGTCTGCATGTAAAGAGATCGCAACTCCCTCCTGATATCAGTTCAGTGTCAGAGGTACGACTATTTAGACCTCGATACAATACATAAAATATATAGGAAATACAAAATAGTATGTACATTGAGCAAATCGAGCAAGCGAATACGTTGTTTGATTATTTATTTATTATAAAACAAAATGAATAAGCCGTTAAAATGTTTGATTTTTCATAGCAGATCCAATCTTATGGAACAATTTATTATTATATTTAGCGATTTCCACTATACGAATCAATTATCCCGGCAAAAGAAGGGCGGAGTCCGATTAAACGTAGTTCGGTATTTCAGAGCGATCCAATATTATTTTGAAGATTTTTACTTTCCAACCATTTTAACATTATTTGTATATGAGTATGGTAATGGTAATAATTTTTTTTTTTTAATATTGATATAATTTTAAATATATCAGCTAATTTTATTATGTTGTTTAAGCAACGACTACACATTAAAATTTGATAGTTTTTGTTTTTAAATAAATCATTTATTTATATATTCATACCTTTCGGATTCACCAAATATTCGAATTTTTTCTGATGGAATTTAACTGCGACCCTCAAAATATGCTAATGAATTAGTTAGTTATCTTTAATATATATTAATTTTTATTTTCAGTAATAATTTACTTTTTTCTATCTTTTTTAATTGTTTAGAAGTTTAGAAACTTCCGGTTTTTTTTTTTTTTTCTATCTTTTTATTTTATCGTGAGTGCCAAAACTAGAAGATCTCAATCGTTGTTAATTAGCAATATGCTTAACACATTAGTGATCATATAAAAAAACAAAGCCTTAATAAAAATCGATCCATCAAATTAATATGTTCAACAAATTTTATATTACTTTGACAAATAATTTACATTATACAACTCAACAAAAAGAGATGATCCAAAATCTCGACGATATTATTTATAAATTTATAAGGTACATTGACAAATAAGCTAAAAATCATTAAGTCTTCACTTTAAAAACTGCATATTATAGAATATTGATTTTAGTTGAATAAATTTCTCTTTTATGAATTTCATTATATATGTATACGTAGATATATATATAAATATATATATGTTATATATATATATTTTTTATTATTATTTATTTATTTATGGTTTTTTTTTTTTTTTTTGTAAACTCAAAAAGCATTTAAGAAGTTGTATGCGTTTACATATTGTATTTATACGCGTTAATATATTGGTATTTTTATCGCAAATCAGGATCCTCGTCTGCGGCCTTTTTAATACGTAGCAATATTGTTGTATACCATTGATCTAAGCGTGAGATGCTATCGTAATCTTTTACTGCTTCTGTAAAACCCTCGATATTCTGCTCCTCAAGGTGCTCACATAGAACCTACATAAAAATGTATTTTATTGAATGAAAATTTAAGCTACAAAATCTTAATTACCTTGATAAGTTTAAACTCTCGTGAATCTTGGAATGCCGGGTATTGCTGCGCATATTTTTCGATTGCGTGTTGCGCATTCAACAAATCAACGCTTAGATGACAAAGAGCGGCACGAAAGAAATACTCCTTAGCGCTGTATTTCAACAACGAGCTCTCTAGTGATGAGGCAGCTACCTGCTCATATATCGATATTGCTTTTTCATAATCCTCCAGTTGGGCTGCATATTGGGCAACTTTTAGCATACACTTATTCGCAGAGCTTACAGACTCTTCGCCCTTAAAATAATCTGCCGCTTGTTCATAGTGTTGAATGGCTTTGGCCTTCACGTCACCAGATAAATTACAAATATTTAATTACTTTCCAGTCTGTACTCTAAATGTTCACATATATGATAGGTGCTTACCAGAGTAGTTGGGTCGCTTTCATACATTTCAGCAATGCTCTGATGATGCTTGGCTGCCATTGTAAAGCGCCCCATATCTGTGTAAATGTCTATGGACTTCATCAAACAGTTGACGGCGCTTTCCACATCTACTTTCTTGTAGCAATTCGAAGCATCCACGTAGCAAGTGCCTGCATCGTGGCGGCTGCCAGCTCGTCCATGGAGAGTGGCTGCCTCACAGAAGCATTCACCGGCTTTACTCCAGTTCTTCGACATTTTAAACATATTGCCAGCTCGCTGATAGCACTCAATAGCATCTTCAATTTTATTGGAGCCACTGCAATGATTTATAACAATAGAAATTGTGAATAAAAACAATGCATATCACTCGCACTTATGACCGTATATTCATCCATACGAAATCGGGTCTATCAAATAATAATAAGCATCAATAATTATGTCTTTTATAGTTTTGTAGTTTCCCAAGTGTGCCAATTAATAGTCATAATCTCAGCATAAATATGCTTATTAAATATAAATACAAATTAATAATAATAAAACAATCAATTCGTAAATTAATATGTAAATTTATACTTATGAATCATATTTTTGTCCACATTAATATATTTATTAAGTTTAATACACATATTAGAATTTTGGTTAAATCTGTCCTCAATCAATATTTCTGTATGTATTTATGAAATTTATATATGCAATACGTTGTATATATTTTAAAGAATCTCACGCATCGAATGCTCATTAATACAATAATTATAGTGAAATACCTACCTTATTTCTTTACATCGAGCTCAGAAAATAAAAATGAATACGATTGTAACCCACATTACTCACCCAAAAAGTGAGCCGAGAAAACCCTTTTGCTGTGTCAGCTTTTTTTCAGCCTCAGCCATAAGCTGAAGAGCCTTCTGCTCATTGTCCCCCATTATTTCACTTGTGGAATTTTTGTGCACCAATTCGCATTTAGATAACGATTTTCAGATATTCTACACAAATCCGACTTGGACTTTGCTGAAAATAAAATCAATACGAAAAGGAATAACAGTGTGACCAAAGCCTTATAAAATATATTTACTTCCCTATCTCTAAATATATACTAAATAAAATACAACCAACAATGACATGAGCGTCAATGTAAAAAAAAAACAACTATTTTTTAGGCAACACTTCCAAGTAATTTTAGTTTGCACATACAAAAATATTTCCTAGTTACACACTCATTAATGAGCTCTCCTATTAACAGATTAGACATTTCGATTATCATTATTAAAGAACAATTGCAATATCTAAATACCGAAAACTATCTACCTAAAAGAAAACGAGCTAAATATACTGATTCTGATCACTTTAAATCTTTATTACTTTGTATATTTATATATTAAAAATTAATAAAACATATTTTATATAGGTGTATTTTTGTTTTCTATTGACATTACAAAAGCTAATTACTTAGCGGAAAAAACTGAATATATAACTTAATAAATAAACAAGCAAGTAATTTAAACAGCAACGGGAATTTGGAAAATATCGAACATGGAGAAAAAAGCCTTTTTACTTGCACGCTATATAGAAAATTATTGTATTCGGTTTAACTACACATAGACGTAACGAGAATGAATATATGAAGTCAGCCGGCTGTAGTAATTTCTTTTAATGCTCAAACAAACATCTTCTCAAGCATTTTCCTGAGTTTCTCATGAGCATAACGTATCTTTTGGTATAGATCCTTGGAAACTCCGTTTTGGGCGATAGTTGAAAATCGATATGTGCGAAAGTTTTTCTCATGATCCATGTAGGTGATGGCACTCATACGGGGGCATAAAATTATTTTCATATGATCCGAAAAGTTAAGCTAAGTAAGAAACAAAAATAAATTTTAAATGTTTCTTTAATTGAACGTTTATCGTTAGTACCTGAACAGAGCCATTGGTTAAATGCATAACCACTGCACAAGTCGTCCGAAACCAGGAATGAAGATGAGGCATTCGAGAAATTTGATCGTTTTCATCAGGAACATTATTGGCCCCTGCCTTTACCAGATGTTCAGTCATATATCGTTTAAAATATGACAGCAGTTTCATCTTTTTATCCAGTGACTTGCAGTAATCTGTCGTAGTCATATAGGACTCTTTACCTTCCTTATCAATGAAATGCACGTTTAGTTGATTAGGCAACAAAATGAGTTTTGTGGTGTCATTGAACATAACTCCGATGCCCTCATCACACAGCTGATAGCCAAAACCGTATTTATCACTATAGTCGACCCACTTTGAAATCCAAAATAACGGCTGGGCTGCAGGATCGGTATTCTCATCGCCAAGATTTCCTTGCAGTAAACGCGGCTTTTAAAATGGAAGCATATTCACATTCATATCTTTGATATTTAACCTTATACTACATACCTTATCATTAATAAGCTTCGTCAGCTGCTGATGCAAGCTCTCAATATCGCTACGATAGTCTTCATTATGACGACAAACCTGAGCCGACGCTGTAATTGCGTCGTGTAAATTATTCTTCAAAAACGTCGACTCTAAACGAGTATCATCTCGCAGACCATTATATTCCGCCAGCGGCTTACGCTGAGTAGGGTCCTCTATAGTATCGTTAATGCCGATTCGTGGCGCCATTGTTAGGCAAGAGCTGGGCAAAAACACTGGCACTTGTGTCGCCTTAAGAAACTCAAAATTCAGGAGCTGTCCTATTGTAGGACGACTTTCTGGATTAGGTTGTAGCATTGCAATTACCATATCCGCAGCCGGTTTTCTTAAGTAGCTCGGCACGCGATACTCGCATTTTTTTATTTTTGAGTAAGTGTCCTTCAATGTTTTCGTTTCGAAAGGCGGCTGACCAACTAACAACGTATACATAACGCAACCAATTGACCAGATATCCACTTCAAACGAGTGACCCTTCTTTGTCAGGATCTCTGGTGCAATATAGTTAGGAGTGCCGCATAATGTTTTCTTGCGTTCACCCTCGTACTCAATACGTGTTGCTAGTCCAAAATCACCAATCTTCACATGCAACATGTCATTTAAAAATAGATTGCCCAACTTGAGATCACGATGAATGATACGATTGTCGTGAAGATACTTGACACCCTGTATTATTTGGTATATGTAATAGCGGGTTTCAAACTCTGTAATACTTTTACGGCGCTTGTGCAACTCCATCATCGACTACAAGGCAAAATGTTGAAAAACAATTAATAATACATGCGTACCTTTGGTCAAGATATTTATCATTTCAGAATACGTACGCGTTTCTTGCACAGCTCCAGCACAATGTAGATATTCTGAACATCTTCAAAATAGCTGTGAAATTTTACAATATTTGGATGGTTTAGACTGCGGTGAATAGTTATTTCCTGAGCCGTCTTCTCTTTCTGGTTGTGCTTTATCATAAGCTTCTTGGACACAATCTTGCCAGCAAACACATCGTCGGTCTCCACATCAATTATTTCATAACATTTAGCAAATCCACCCTGAAATTGTATTTCAAAATTCTCAGAAATATTTTAAATACATATATAAGCAGAATATATGAACATAAGTACGTACATATGTAGATACATACATTCATTTATTGTGTTGTACGCGCCAAAACAGCCAACTAGTTGTTTGCTGTGTTTGACAACACTAATTTCTGCTCGTAGCTATATACATGCGTGTGTGACTACACAAACCTGCACACATACATGCATGCAGACATAACTGCATATCGCGAAAACAGCAGGAACAAAATGTCCAGGGCAAACAATGCAATCGCCTATGTGTAGGACGGACTCCGCATGTTTTCCCTGTACTTTTTTTTTTTTTTTAAATCAGTGTGCGAGACACACCTAACACTTACCTTACCGAAAAAGCGCATACGCTTATAGGTCTTACGGTGATTAGAGTCAAAAAGACGATCAGGTATATCCGTGCTCTTATCCTCGGGTTTTGCGGCCATTTTTTCAGTTTTACCTTTTTTAGGCTGACTCGTTTATTTTAGTTTTCTATATCTGCTCAGCCTGCTTGCTTCTTTTGATTGCTCAGGCTTATTTTTGTGCACTGCACGCAAATATTTACCCCAAAGTGTATTATAAAATATGATAACAAATTCACACTAACAATGATCTAATACAAGATACCCAGACCGACACGATTTACAGGCACACAGTGTAGAACGCGCCGAAACAGTTTATTTTATTTGAATGCCAGTTTGAGTAGTTCGTCAGCGTCACTAAGCCTCAAACGATAACATGTTTTCAACAGCACTGCATGACCAGTGCTGAAAAATGTTCACAAAGAGCACTCGTAAACGTTAAAATTTAAATTATATATATCGCCAGCATAAAATTATGGTTTTTGGACTTTAATGAAATCTAAATTTGTGTGAGTTGCATACAGGCATCATTAAATTTAGTTTAGTAAATCTAATAATTTAATATTTAAACTTGTATACTTTAACAAATGACAAATACTATGTATTGGAATGTCTGGCCTGTCACTGAAGCAATAAATGTAGAGATCTGGCATCACCGCCCGAAAAAATTTGCAAATTGCTTACATTTTACAATATACATTCAATGATTTATTTTCGATGGTATTAATTAATGTAGTCGAATAACAATATCTGAGCCCTAATTGAAACGATACAGTAGGTTGATTTACCGTGTCGAATATCCATTATTAAAATCTTTAAATTGCTTCAGCTCATTCAACATTACTGGTCTCCATATGAAAAAACCATTCTGGCTAGAGAATAAATACTGCCTAACCGAATATATTGGAATTACCAAGATATATTTCAATGTTTATTGGATTTTGCGAGCTCCAATAATATTAGCTCTTGCTTGCTTATCTAAAGTACGGATGCATTTAGAAATACATTCCATTTAGAAATACAGATGTATGTACATACATATGTATGTATGTATGCTTGAATCATATATTTTTCTTACTTGTATATTGGCATTAGTTCAGTTTTAGGTTGTTGCGGCGCTTTTTCGATGGCTTAGAAGTTAGCTTGCTGTCTACTACCAGTTTCAGTGATGCCTTAGGTAGATTGTTTTATAAATGTTCTTTACAATTAAATTATTACATTATCATATCAATAGTGTTGTTTTATAGTTCGGTTTTATTTTTATTTTTTAAGATTTACGCAGTCTCGAGTGCCTTCTGTCTCTTCCTTGTTGTACGTATCCTTGTGTGTGTCAGAGTTAGCGTGTGCAATGGAGGAGAGATTTGCGTTTTGCATATATGTATGTGTGTGTAGCCGATCGTATCATGATGGACACTACAGAATTTCTAAAGTTGAACAAAAAATATCCGATCCAGGCATTCTCAGCTGGATCCCGAACTCCCAACGGCTAGCCCGCGTTGTAAACGCAGCCATTCCACAAATTCATCCAGCATGACGGGCCCTAAAATTGAAAATGATTAATAAAGCATGTATGCTTATCGCGCGTATTAACTGTTACGTACAGGCTCCATCAATATCATAGTTTGACAGATCAATACAGATTGTGCGCGAAAACTCGAGTATATTACACCATTGATCCTTATTAATAACCTTGTACTTCGATTGCTCTAGGAATTGCGCAAATTGTGGATACAGTGTCCAATGCTTGCCAAGAAGTAATTGTAGCATCGCCTTAGCCGTCAGAATATCCATGCTTCGCTGATCCGAGTCCTGCATAAGAAAAATTAATTCAATTGGTGTATATACATATATGTATTTATTCTTGCAAGATTATTTTTACCTTGGCAAAATCATAGGCGTATCGATATATACTCTTGAAGGAGTTGGGATCGTTGAGTATGCTACGCAGATAGTCCAGTTTCACAACCATTTTTGCTGTCGAATCACATTCGAGATCCGTGAGACCTTTTAACCATTCTTGCTGACTGAAGAATCCCATCTGTGTGGCACCCATTTTGTAGGCGAGCACAAGCATCACTATATTCTCGGGCTCAACGCCAATATCTTCACAGAATTTCTCCATGCCATCTGGTCCTATAAACACGAGTGTTTATGCTTTTTTCCTTTTCAGATCACCAACTTTTGTTTTACTCACCCAGTGTATCAGGCTCATCGGGCGTGGTGTATTCGTGGAACCAGGCGAGGCAGCGTTTCTGGCTAAAGCTGTCTTCTGCTCTGATATGGCGTCTAGTACAAAACAAAAAATTTTATCAATATAATTATCTACATATGTTGTTTTGTATAGCTAAATGAATTGTCAACAGCATACTTAGCCATAAACCATTTAAGCTCATATATTTATACTATTTTAATTATTTTTCTTGAGCATTCGCTCCGATGTTGACGTATTATTCAATGTTTTCAATTTAGTAGTGCTGCCAACTAAAAATAGCAATAGTAAACTTAATGAGGATGCCAATACAAACAAAAAGAGACGAAACATTTTAAAATGAGCATTCGTACACATTTATACATATACATACATATGTATATATTGAAGCCCATTAAATATGTGCAGCTCGGGTAGGTCTGAGAATCGGCCAATATCTATTTCATATTGCCCTAAATGTAAGGGATGGGGCATTTCACTTCATATTCCCTTTTTTGTTTTTTGGTTTTCATACCCTGAACCCATTGAAAATGGGAAATCAGGGTATAATGGTTTTCTTAAAAGTATGTAACAACCGGAAGGAGGCGATATAAGACCCCACAAAGTTTATATATTCTTGATCAGGCTGACGAGCTGAATCGATTTGGCCCTATCCGTCTGTCTGTCCGTATTTATGAGCGCGTCGATCTCAGAAGATATAGGAGCTAAAGACTTCAATTTTTTTTCTTAAATGTCCGTATATACAGCGCGCATATCGAGTTTGTCATTAAAAAACGATAACGCATTCCGATATTTTTATCGAAAAAAAAACCATATCAAAGATCAGTTATAAAATTATATCTCCTACATCTTTAAAGGTAGTCCCTAAATTTAAATGTATATTAAGATGCATTTTATACAATTTCGGTTTTTGTTACAATTTACCCCCACCCCTATGTCCACCCCCTCACCATAATATTTGTAAAAGACGTACTTCAAATACTAGAGACTTGTGCTACGGAATATACATACATTTTAACAATATGCGTGTTTGTGTGTGTGCGTGTGTTTGTTTGTATGCGTGTGTGAAATAAAATATAAGTTGCTCGAAGAATAAGTTGCATAATTAGATAATTAATATTAATGTATTGTTTAGTTTTTGGCTTAATAAACTTTTTTTTTTTTTAGAATTTTTAGCCTATTCTAGCTTATATTTTTGAGCAATTTGGCCTATTTTGTCGTTCAAAATCTGGCATATCGATATCGTGTCCCTATGCGTATAGAATACACAAGTATGCATACAAAATTTCAGCTCTCTAGCTCTTATATCTTCTGAAATCTATGCATTCATACGAACGGACGGACATGGCTATACCGACTCAGCTCGTCGTCCTGATCAAGAATATACATATATACTTTATGGGGTCTGCGATATTTCCTTCTGCCCGTTACATACTTTTACACAAAACCATTATACCCTGATTTCCCATTTTCAATGATTCAGGGTATACAAAATAATCGTGTTTGAATTGCACTAAAATAAACTAAATTACTTAGTGAACGACCCAATAAATAGAATGTGTGGGCTTATATAAAAGAAAAACGTAGCCTAAAATTATCAGGAACGCACACACACGCGCACGCAGCCAAACAAACACAAGCACACACACACACGTGCACATATACAGGCGATTGCGCTTGGGTTGCGCTGCAGTGTTGATAGTATTATGAAAATTTATTTGTTGAATAATTTGAAATCTAGACGTACGATCCAGATGAAACTTTCAGTACGTAATCATATTGTTTAAATGTATGTATATTCGGAAGCTGAAGTCTCTAGTATTTGAAATACGCCTTTTACAAATATGTCTAGCTCTTTTGACTTCTGAGATCGACGCGTTTATACATACGGACAGACGCGACGGACGGACGGACAGACAGGCGGACAGAGACAAATCGACTCAGCTCGTCGCCCTGATCAAGAATACATATACTTTGTAGGGTCTGCCACGCCTCCTTCTGCCTGTTACATACATTTTAACAAAACCATTTTACCCTGAGTTCCCATTTTCAATGGGTTCAGGGTATAAAAACGATGGTTAAAACTTCGAAATAGCAACTAATTATTATTAGATTTGCCAAAATACTGAAAATACGCTTTCTACAAATTTTACGGGACTTTCTCGAACCGAAATCTCTATCTCTAAAGATGTAGGAGATATGCTTTAATAAACCAACTCGATTTGCCATATCTGCTTCTGAGTCAATATAACCATGTCTTTCTGTTGGTATGAACGTTGGGATCTTAGAAGATAAAAGAGCTTCGCCAGCAATTTGTAACCCACGTATTTCAAGTTCTAGAGGAACTCCAAGCGGAGTCGCTGCTATCTGTGCAGTTTGCAGACCGAGGGTATCTCTCCTAGTCGAGCAGTCTTGACTAGAGCACTCATGTTATTAACAGAGAACCGGCGGCTGCGCGCTGGAATTGATAGAGAGAGTTGAATGAAATGCATGTAAATACATGGCAGCTGAGGATTCGTGAAATAGGCGCCGAGCCGAATGCGGTTGGATACGAATTCAAGCCGTAGTTGTGCGCACGACTGCAAACGAGACACACGTCGTTTCTATCGAAATTAATAAATCGTACGTAATAATACCCTTAAGAGGTATTAGTTAATAAATAGAAGAAAATGCTACCATTTAGTGAAAATAACCGTGCTCTGAAGTGTGTCAATGGATATGTATTCAACATTATCTGTTGCATACTATTCGCGTTACTTGGTAAGTTGTTAGAACATCCCTTTGCTCAAGGGAAGGCATCAGGGTGGGGAAAAATCAATAGTATGGAGGACACATCACATTGCTGACACAATGGCACATTGCTGACACAAAAAAAGTAGCAAGCTAGATTTAATTAATATTAATATTTTTTCACAGCGAGCAGCGCTGAAGCTCTTCAGTTGAGCGCCTTTACAACTAAAACGCCAAGGGTTTCTAAATATACTACTAAATCGCCATCGGTAAGAGATGATCATCCTCACACATTTCAGCTTGTCTTCAAGTGTCAAATACTCTTGCAGGCATCTTCGATGAATCATGATGCTACTACCTCGATTTATCGCTTAAATGCTACTAATGGCATCACCTGCATTCTAATGCAAGTAGATGGTCTAATAAGTATCCGATATCGGAATAAGTTAAACGAGGATGTGGAGGCCGACCTATATATGCCGGATAATCCAGTCTTGAGTGGCGAGTGTGACAATACGAATTTGGAAATATTGACCATGGACTTCAAGGGCTTTTCGCTATCTATGACTTTCAAAAAGGTAAAGAACTGAGAATTTGCTATTGGGACCAAAATGTCAGAGGTTAAATAAAATTAATTTCAACTACACACATGCATAGTCGTCAGGCGGCGAGGGCTGGTACATCAACGTTTTTGAGCTAACATACTCCTCATCGAATCCATTATTCGAACATCCCGACCGTCCCAATTTAAATGTGAAACTGACCTCTCCAGCACAAACACCCATGTATTTCCCAACACCTGTGGGCAAGTCGTACCTTTGTGACAAGGAACAAACTGTGATTTTGTATGCCCCTCACGATTCCGGCGACCAGTCTGGTCACATTGCGCGTCTTTACTTGCGCGACATGCATATGCAAAGCTTTATGTTCAAGGAGAGCGGAAAATGGGGACCATCCTTCCACTGTAGTGCCACCGGATCCTATCGCGATGAGACGGCACCCTTAGCCGTAGGCACAGCACTGGCCATTGCGGTTCTATTGACTATTTCGGGCTACGGTGGTTGGCGGTGAGTAACCCAACTATTGACTAACTAAGCGTATTCCAATACGAAACGTATCAAATGCTTGAGCATTCATAGACAAGTAAAGGCTACCCTTACTACATTTCCAAACTTTAAATTCGAAACTTGTAATACTTATGTATACTAATTCATTTTTTTCAGGTATTTCAAAGTCAAGAAGGTTCAGTACGGGTCGATGGAGTAAATTAAGCATCAATGTACTACAATTAATTTGTTTAATTGTTTTTGAATCATACCTTTCTAATGTTATTTGTTGTAGTCAGTATTGAAGTATTTAACTATATTATCATGTTCTTGAACTCAAAATTGTGAGTCATTAGAACCACAAACATAACTGTTACAAAATTATATATATATATATATCGAAAATTTTGTAACAGTTATATATATATTTAAATATTCGATATAAATAAATGCAAATGTCTTCCATATAGCTAATATTATGTAAAATGTTTATATATATATATATATATATATATATATA